TATATATATATGAACAGGTTCCAGGCCAGCCAGACCTATATAACAAGACCCTGTCTCAAACAAACACACACTGTAATTCGAAGATGACAACCAACAGAGATAAATGTCCAGGTTGCAACAATTTTAAAAAGATCATTGTGCTTGCTGGGTGTGGTGGTTTCTGAGTGTAATCCAAACACTCAGGAGGCTGAAGCAGGAGCAGTGCCACAAGTTCAAGGTCATCTCGGGCTGCCAGCTCTGTTGTGTTAACTTTTCCTAGGAAGATGTGAACAAATGTCTACTCATCCCAGAGAGTACACTGATAACAGACCGAAGTAAGAATTCCTCCAAAGTCCAATAGGGTGAACTGTGGTGGTTTGATTGAGAATGTCCCCCATGGGCTCCAAGTATTTGGACATTTTGTCCCCAGTTGGTGGTGCTGTTTTGGGAGGTTTAGGTGTGGCTTTGCTGAGAGGAAGCACGTCACGGGGACAGGAATTAAGCCATGCCAGATTTCCATTTCCTCTCTGCTTCCTATGCCCACTGAAGATGTGAGTGCTCAGCTTCCTGCCCTGGCCACCTCTGCTGCCTCCCCACCATGACAGACTCCAGTTCCTCTGGAATCCTACGCCAAATAAACTCTTCCCTCTATAAGTTGCCTTGGTCCTGGTGTTTTATCACAGCAGCATAAAAGTAACTACATGAACCACTGAGTTTATTGGGGTCACTGATGGGAGTATGGGTGAGAGGTCCCTTACAGGAAAGGGAATGACTTCACTCAAAGGCACATGCACACAAAGCCCACCCTAGACGGGAGACAACTCAGAAAAAGGTGCACCCTGGGGGCCTCTGCTCTACTTGCAGAGCAGCAGTTTGGAGAGTCTCCTCCCCAGCAGTGGTCACTGCTTATAGAACCTTGGAGAGAGGCCATGTCAATCTGTGAGTTTCAGAAACTTCCTGAGACTCCTTAGTTGTTTACTTCCTTAGCCCTGTAAGTTTTATTTTAAGTCAAGTAACATGTTTTGTTTAATGAGCCTACCTCCAAGCTGGAAGATTTCAATTCAGAGAAAACTGTCACACAACAGGTTAGAAATGAACATTTGACT